TCGCCCGTCTCTGTATCGTTTTCGCCCACCGGGGGGCGATATCGCCTACTTTGGGAATCACTGAATAGAGGAAGATGCAAAATAAAATGCCGTACTCAATAACTGGTTTTATCATCGTCCTATATACTTTAAGCAATGTAATCTTATTCGCACACCACTTCGTACCAGATAATGCACGTAATAAATTCATTCTTTTACCGAGACTTTCCCCCCATGTATCTAATATGTTTTCTGCATCAATCAATCTCCCAACGTCCCAAGTATTTGCAGTCTTTCTCAACCGTAAGGATCGGTTCTTCTATTTTCAAAGAATGGCTTTGGATTTTGCTTTCGAGGGGCGAACCCCCAATCATTGCACCAGCAATTAATATTATCTTGATTAGCTTGGATCTATGTAAAAAGATGATCAACACATAACTCATCTTCCCAAATGCTGCAGTCGTCCGCAAAGAGCACTATGTTTGAAGAAACACAATAAGGCAAATGGTTTAACATAAAATTAAAAAGAGTGGAGATAACACGCTACCTTGAGGGATTCAGTTGTCGATTTTGAATATATCGGACATTGTGTTACCTATGTGAACTTGTACGAATGGACAAAAAGAATTCAATTCTCATAAAAGATCGGCCACGTGTCCCAATATTATACAGTTTGTATAAGAGGCCGCAAAGCCAGACCATGTCGTAAGTCTTTTCTATCTGGAAACATGGCGGATCAGATGGCAGCATGGCAGATCAGAAACAGATCTTTTATTTGCCGAAGCTTTATAGATATCATCATGTATTCGAAGGATATTGTCGATTGTTGAGCGATGATGTCTAAATCCAGATTGTTACGTCGTTAATCTAAAGTTTTATATTAGACGTCAACGAAATTGGTATGAATAATGAAATATGAATCTTCGGTTTGTTAGACTTTAATATGGGAACTGCGCCAATGAGCCGGTAATTGTCCTTTTACCCAAATAAGATTAAAAAGTTGCAGAAATATTATTTAGGATAGGATAGCATCCAAACACATTGACCTTTTGTGAATCATATATATCGAAAGGTGTCATGAATCGCTTCATCCTGTTGTAAGCGATTCGTTTCAGTCTTATAAGTTTGATGCAATCATCATTCCACCTAGGGTGTTGCTGACTTTTATATGGTTTGGCTTTTGGGATAGACATTCTAGCTACCGTAACAAGCAAATTTGTCACAAAACTTTTCAACGTCTTCAGATATTATCCCATCTGATATAGTCCGGCAGAATCGGGCCTTAACATTGTTTTGGGACATAAAGTTTTTTTCATTGATAGATATAATGTATATGACATATATAATGATACCCAGGTGGGTGTGGAGTATATAATGTTGAGCAATTTTTTTTTTAAGTGGATTCAAAGTATTCGGTCCAAGATGACGCACATCCTGAACCCTAACCTGGTAAACATACAATGTTCAGGTCGTGCGCCATCTTGGTACGAATACTTCAGGAGCGCCTTTTTGTTAAAAACAATTATTTCATAACTACATGGTTTAGTTTCGCATACATAGTAACATTGAATCTCCTTACAATGTCAGAAATTCAATTTCAGTAGAATAAATGGTAGTTTATTTCACTAATACAAGTCAAGATCCATCGACAGCATCTAGCCACTTTCTATTGCGCTCTTCAAAATACATTGGCGTTGCCGCGCGCATTTCGTTTTCCTAGTTTAAGCTTAGGGACTTGGGAAATATTTTATTAGTTGAATTGGATTGGAATATTTGACCTCGTCTTTCACTCCGAACCAGGCCATGTAAAACCATCCACGGGTATCTAAAATGTGTAACGTGTTTTCTTTTGGAAGAACCGCAACCTTTCAGTGCTGCATTGACTTTGGCAAAATTAATATATCCTTGTGGAGATAGAAGGTATGCGTATGCGAAATCGAAATGTGCACCTGTTATGCCAACATAGTTGAGTCAAACGTTTTGAATACTAATACATCTTTTGTGTATAATTTCATTCCATAGAATTTGTATGCTGTTCTAAAGAATACTAGTTTCAGCTTTTTCATTCATTCAAACCGCGTGTTGAAAGTAAGTTTTGTAATATTGCGTGTTGGTTTTCAACATCCTTAAATCAGTGATGCCAGTAAATCTTTAATACAAAAAGATCAGTGACATCTGCAATAAAAACAGCAGTACCCACTCAAATGACAGCTGGGGGATGGATACTCTTAGTATCTGCTCCATCGCGTGCCTCTTACAGTCTTACCAGTTTACATGAGTGCCAATTGATATCTAAGCTCAGCCAGAGACAAAAAGTTTCGGACTGCAGTTGGCGTGACGAAAAGTTTTTAAATATATATTCTACAATAAGATTATTTGATTGAATACTACTGAAAGTTTCTGCCTTATATGTCTTTCCCCATTGCACTATTCCTTTACTGATGTTTGATAATATGACGCTCATCTGACATAGTTCTTAAAGTGTGTAGATGGGTATAATCTTTTCCACGCTGTTCAGATGGGAATGCGCGAATATATATAAGAATTGCTAATATTGGTTTGCAATGCGATGAAATCCCATCTTGGCATTTCTGTCTCTCGCAATTGCTGCGTAAACTTCTCGGGGAAGTTCTGTGGCGTGGTTATCAAATGAAAAATAAAACATGGGAGTATTTTTCCTACTTCCCTACTACTATTAAACCTTGACATTTTGTGAAAACTTTTTTCCATGCAACCTTTTTTTAAAACATCCTCAACAACCACAATTAATTCTGTTATTAAACTTCCGAAACAAACACATAAAATCATCAACAGATGCATATCACCAAGTAGATATTGCTGAATTGATCTTTATTTTACCATTTTTCATGTAATTCTTTTTGGTAAACCTGTTATCTATCGTAAATACAGCACATTTGACAATGTTTGTAGTGTGACTATTTTGGCCTCACATTTTTGATATTTGTAGTTAGAGCTCTTGGGGCTCTGTCAAACAAAGTTACATACGAAATATTAGTTGTAAATTGCAGAACATGATCATGTTGTTGGAAGAACTTGGCATTTTACCACCCGTATATCATTCATTGAGAATATTAATAAAATCATAAAATTTAAAAAATCGGTTTTCGTGAAATTTTTGTTGTAGCTGAATTCCAGGGACAGCATGACAACAGGACAAGAGTAGCACGGTCGCCTCTTTCAGTTTATGACAGAGTTTCTCAAAAGGGGACCCCGTCCTCCTTGGAGGCCGCTGATCGGTTATCTGGGAGCACGAACAATTAGATGGAAATACGAATATATAATAACAATGTATTTTTATAGAAGAGAAGAAGCAAAAGTGTTGAGAGTCTTTGGTAGTTTGAAAAGCATTGGCATGGAACATAAGAATGAACTACATTCTTTCCCAGGGATATACTATAAAACGTAGCAATTTTCTCATTCTTGTTCTCGTGATATCATTATCTTTCACTGCGTCGTCGTGATCATCCCGCTGCATAACAATTCTCGCTAACAATTAATTGACTGTTCTCCACCGGGTGTATATCCACTTGAACCACTGGCGACTGCATCAAAATGTGCATCCGGCAATATGTATATATTAATTATCTGGTTCCATTACATTTGAACCCACGTACATTTGAACCCATGACAATTGCACCTGCATACTACTGCACCTATGGAATTTTTTGTTTTACGGATATTTGAACCCATACTCACCCTAACCCATGGGTTTTATCACCCGCATATAGATTGAACCCGCGGATTTACGCATGGGTTCAAATGTACGTGGGTTCAAATGCACGGTCACCTAATTATCTTGTTACCTTCGACAACAATGCCTTGTATCTCTATTTCTAAATATGTGCTAAACGGTAACGTAGCGTATGATGAAGGATTATCCACGAACATGCATAACCCCTCACCAAAAGTGTTCCGATCTTGTCTAATTAACGTATAGCCACGTATGAAAAGGTCTCTTGGAGAGAAAATGACATTTGGCTTTGAAAAGAAGTATTTATATAATGTTTGAATTCGTGTATTTTGCTATATACGCCTCTGTAGTTTCACTGCAAAAGTGTGAGAACCATTATTTTAGATTAACTAAGGGAACAAGTTTCTGTTTATCCAAAATCATCCCAAGATATTAGTATATGCGTTTTATTATTACATCTATTGCATTGCATCTAAAAACGCTCCATTTAAAAAATTTCTGCCGTATCTTAAACGTTGATAACAAATGAAGTACTTATTGAAAGCGTGAATTCATTTAACCCTAACATCGAATTTTAACAAATGGGAATGTCATTTCAGTTTACAACCGCTGTAAAACCGGAACGAAAGCCTTGCTCTTTCTGTGCTTTTTGAAGTGTGGTGAAGCGAGCGTTATTTCTCTCTCTATAACTCACACCCCACTAGCCATGCGGTCGTGCTTCACAGGTCATATGTTACCGATACGGGCTGTGTCATATAATTATATCCACTAATCATCGCACCTGCGAATCCGCTTAGCTAATTAACAGTGTGGTGATATACGTGCTCTCATAGCTCAGTACAAGTCGCTGTCCGTCGATCCACAGAAGGATGATGCTGTCGTTTGACTTCAGGAGGCAAGTACGATGACATACAATGTCGTATAGTGGTCCGTTGTATTTATGTTTCGTGACAACTAGTTTTTTTATACTGTATACATTTATGCGAGGTTAGGGTCCGAGTGCATTTTCAGTTCAGGAGTTGAGGAAAATATCTGTAGCATGTAATCAGGTTTAAACAGTCTAATTTCTGACATTCTAGTTACCTAACTGAAACCTCTGTGCAAAACCTGTTCGACCTAATGGTGGCAAAATATCTGACATCCCCTTAATTTGAAAGCTAGTACTAAAATGAAAAGATGGGTAATTTAAACTGTGAAAATATAAAATTGTCATCATCACTCTCCCCATTCATTCGATTTTTCACCAATAATGGACAATACCAAGCTCAACTTCCTCTAAAAAATATACGAGACGTATCAGAAATAAATTCTTTTGTGAAGTTCTATTTGTTATAGTCGAGAATCAGAGTTTTTTCATCTATAGGACAAAAATATATTATTTCGAAATAGGATCTGCCTACTTAATTTGTATTTTTAATTTAAAGCATTTTAGTGATCAGATAACGAGTTAACCATATGTCCGCATAGGCTGCTGATGTAGCTTACAACGGTTTTTCATTGAGAATTGACCCTTTGTTTTCTATATGTCCGTATTCGATGACTACTTTTTATATATATGATACGAATTGTGTCGTGCACTACTCTACACAGCTTTCCGTACACGATGAGATAAATATTTTTTACGTGGCTTATAAAAAAGCATTTTCCAAGCTTCTAAATCAAAAAGTTTTATTACAAAATAATGAAAAGGTCCTAAGACTAAGTGGTATAAGCGTCTTGCTGCACACTAACACAAATATAATCCTGTAACGTTTCGTCTGACCAAGCTCAGATTTCCTCAGACATATATAGTTCAACTATAACAAGAAAAGCAGTTGCATGCATATTCAAACAATCAGTGTAAAAATATGGGACTTCTTGATTAATTGACAGCTGCTGAATGGAAAGGCCATTGATGAGATCTTTTTGTTTTATGTTCAACAAATTTTGTTGTCAGTGATTTTTCACAGAGCAACTTTTCTGATGATATTTCAGAAAAAAATGGAGAAAATTGATACATATTGGAAATTTCTAATTTTTGTATCAAACCGGTAAATGGCACATTCCCTCTGAAATTTATACTACAGTCAAAAGTATGACTATTTTTGTGGATAACTTTTAAGCTGAGTTACGTAAAATTTCACGACCCCAGATGCTGCAATATTGATCTCTTAAATGAAAAGTTGAAGTATACAACGTGTTATTTGCGACGGTGGCTTGGGTTGTTTGTTTGTTTTTGACGTAACTCTTCTGGGACGGGATGCTCGTTTTCAATGGCCATCTCTCCATTTCCTTTATCCTGCGTTGGTGAATACTGTGCAGTCTGCAAATAATTTTTTTCCATTGTATTGCTTGCGCTACTCGAAACACTCCCGCCTGGGAGCAAATCCGGGGTTTTGTACGTTTGTAACGACTTCCCAATTTCTTCGGAGCAAGACATCTTAGATCCAGATTCGAACTCTTGACTTGAGAGATTGCCATTGCGACAACCCTTTTTATAAAAATTCACAAGAACGACGAAAATCAGTAACACGTTGCTGATAACCCCGACGCTTACCACGCATATAGATAAGATGAACCAATTCCACAACGAAGTTTTCACGAAATCATCTGCAACAGAATTATATGCTTATTGATAGGTGAACTCAATGTAATATTTGGTATCAAGTCGACATATGAAAAGAAGTTGCGAGTTTGCAAATAACATTCATTTTCTTGACAAAGGACAAACAAGACTACAACTATTTCATGTCTATTGCAGATATGATTAGCTTGCCAGTTGAACGTCCTTGTTGCATAAGAGTGGTTTAGGGAGAATGTCGGTTATGTAACAAAATACCTTCCGACGATTGCGTATTTTATGCGAGAAAGTCACGGCGCGATGGCCATTTTTTCTAAAAGATTAGCCTTCTCTTTACACGCAAGCGTGAGAGTTCAAGACACGCGAAACTCCACAACATTTAATAAGGTTTAATGCGGAATGGTTCTTTAAAAACTCACCTGGGCAAAATAACTGACATTTTTTCATGTCTCCTTCTGATGAGTCACATATTTTTTGGCACGGCTCACAAGTATGTAGTGGAAAAGAGTAATATTCGTCCACGTCACATTTCAGAATGTCATTGTTAATGCTTTGCCAAAAAGAGAGTAGATCATCTCTTGTCATTCGGTAAGCAACTCTTAACGGATATCTTCGTCGTCTTTCCTTCTTTTGCTGCTTAAGGGCTCGATCCTTAGACGATGGTGAATTTATAGTTGTTGTGTTGGTTCGTGACCCCTTTTCTAATGTTACCGCCTGTTTGCTTTCGTCCAAGCAAGATACAGTAACAACAATTACCGAGATATAAAGAAGTATTATTAGTGCCCAATTGCCCATCATTAGAGAAAAATATTTCGCTGCTCACGGAATACTCACAAACCCAAAATGATTCACGAAAACTTGGTTGGGCGGCGAGAGACAGTAAACCAGGGAAATCCTGCCGACAACGTAAAGGGTGAATACCCGTATAAAGTTTCGCCTTTCAAACGAATCGATGAATTAAAGCGCTTTTCATACTTGTTGGTTTGATGGCCGCGCTTGACGGGTACGGCCTCATACGCAGTGTGTAAAGAAACAGTGGAACAAGGAGTTAACAGCGGCCCTGTTTCGACACTACGTACTCTCTCTGGTGAAACCCCGATAAAAGCAGTGCTTATTCACCCGGTGACACAATCACCATTAAAATATGTCGAAAATATCTATGACGCGTGCGTTCTTATGTGGTCGGTAAACAAACTCCATCGTCGTGGTATACATGATATGATATAAATTGTTGAAAATGCGAACAGTTTAACCTTAATTTTCTAAATATCTTTCACACTACAGTACCGGGGATTTCTTGAAACTTTTTTCTGGACGGTTGTGCTGAAAAAAGTAATGACCTTAATGTGTTCATCGAATGCGACCTTGGTAGAGAATATTCGTTTAATTCACATCTCACGCTTATTTGAGCGTGGGCCCATTGTATGCTAATAACATGCTCCGATAACCCAATAATAATATTACACGAGAACAATTAATATATATATATATATTATAAATGCTATCGCTGACAGGACGTTAGTTTATCAGTAACAGAAAGATTGAGAGCAACAGTATGGCCCTGACATACTATGGTCGCCTAATCAGACAAGTTTGAAATGAGATCAGAAATTAAGAAGTTTTTGAAGGATTCACGAGTGAGTTTTTCACTTATCGATGAAAATAAAACACAGTTGTTTTGTCGCCATAATACCACGTCTTCATGCATAATAAATCGCTATAGACGAAAAATTTCACTTTTTTATGGTGTATGCTTTCTATCGTGTATCGATGCCATTCTTAATCTTTCACGCGTTGCTTAGAATGAATTAATATTCATCCGCGACCACTACTAAACGAAATCATTAACAAAATTGCAGAATAACGCGAACATTTTAAGCTGGTGTCGATAACAGTACGGAGGAATTTAGCATAAATAACAAAACAAAAAATGTATATATATCGTGTCGCTGAAGAAACCATTACAAGTGTTTTTCAATTGGACGCTTGGGCGGCTCTGGCTCTCTAAGTCTAAGTAATACAAACTTGAATGATTGGCGACTTCCCAAAATTCTGGGCACAGCAAACTTCACGGACATTGGTATATATATATGTAATAATCGATCAAAACTAAAGTAATAAAAGTACCGTATCTGTAAATAGAGCTGGGTAATGCTGTATTTGTGAATTATCTTTAGATATTGCGAAAGAGTTATGACGTCATTGTTAAGTGCCAACATTCTCGAGGGGGCATTATTCGAGGAAGATGCGGCCACGCTTACTCGTCTCTCCCTGGTTATGATCTAACGCAGGGGTTCCCAAGCTTTTTACAGGACGACCCCAAAGACAACTTTCAAGTGTCCAGTGCGACCCCAGGTCAATATATATATTTTTCATGAAACTTTAGAGCTTCTTTCACTGGACGTTTAAGTTTGGTCATGTGGTGGTATTAAGTAAAATACGCTAAAACCAAACAGTGATGACACAATATTCACCTACATTTTCTATAGCATAAGCATATAGCGATGCATATGGGTCTGTTTTACAGTAAGCCATGGTACAAACTGCTAAATTTAACATGGTTTGTCAAATCTTAGATGTTTTGTACATCCATCCTCTGACATACCTCAGCGACCCCATGACCTGTTTGCGACCCTACCTAATTATCACTCCGACCCAATTTGGGGTCGCGACCCTTGTTTGGGATCCCCTGATCTAAAGACCCAGTTGTTCTTTTGCAGTAATCGCTGATAAAAATGAATTTATCTTGATATCCAAATGACAAACCGAAATATACTTTGTGCGCCTTTCATATTCTGGAGCTTATACAGAATATACCACAGCCAAATGAGGAATGCTTGAGAACATTTCTAAGACATTAAACGCGTTCTTGAAATTCGAAAATAACCAGGGTCACGAAGGTTACTTGACACGTAAATCTACTGTTATGCTGGATCAGAAACTGGCATGACATACACGAATACTTGTATCTGACAAAATTCCCGAGAGCCAAAACAGCGAGTCGAAGACCGACATAGAGATCCAACAAAGTTCGACTGACAATCCGATTCAGTGAGATTTCACTCACAAGTCTTGTCGCTGCTGCGTTCCGTAATCAGGAAAGAAATATGACAGGGATTACATATATATTCCGTGGAAGGGAAAGTCGAAGAGACGGCTCGATCATATGACGGCCTCTCGTCCGGTTACCGGTCCATGTTGGGTATGGGATTAAGTCAGCCGGTTGTTTCACATGCACGGACAACGCTGCCAATTTCCAGTAAATTATCGATCTTAAATAAACGCAATATCATTTTTGAAGTACCTCTAACGATCTGTAGAGTGGAAAAATTATTTAGAATATAGAGAACACAAATCAGCTGATCTTTGATAAAAGTGACTAAAGTCGCAACTCGGCGGTTTTGGGTAGTAGATATGGCAGGATAGTTTGCATACAGGGAAAATGAATATTGAAGTTTCAAAGGCCTCTAATCATTTGGTCTTTCCACATTTTCAACAAAGTTGTCATCATTGATCCGATTCAACAGTGGCCGCCCGAATAAGCGTCCAACTCTAGATAAAAATTTCAAACGCGTTTCTCTTGACTAGGATGCGCCTTAATTTACTCGTATCACTTTTTAGCAAGCATTGTTAGGCATAGATTCATTCCCATACTCAAAAAAACATTTTTCTTTGAAAAGAAATATCGAATTATGTGAAGCACAACGTGGATTCCACTCAACAATTTCTTCACGTGCAAGCTCATCGGGAAATTGCAGCATTTATAGTTTAATTAAGTTTCAAAATGAAGAAAAATGGGGGCAAATTTAATTTGTATGTTTGGAGACTTATTAGCAGGCTCAAAGAATCAAACTCTTCAGGGGGGAAATCACTTGTCGAATCTAGAAATAATCGAAATGGCATATTGAGACAATTTTTTTTCCCAAGTACATAAACCGCCAAACAGTGACCCCAATTTGCAAATGCTCCCAGTCTAGACTGACCAGTTTTCGCCATCAAAATCCATGGTATGAATTCAGACTAAATGAAACACGTAAAACGCGCACTTAATGTCCTACCTTCATATGTATCTCATTCCGCAGAAAAAATTGTCAATATACCACATGTCATGGACTAGGACAGTGGTTCCCAAACTTTTTGTACCATCGCCCCCCTAAAGTAGTTTATACAACTTCATCGCCCCCCGGCACTACAAAAAAAATGTAAAGTCAGAAACAAATATATTACAGACCAAATAAGAAGACGAATCATAGTTCATAGTGTTTTTTAATGAGATGGATGAGCTTGGTGTTCTTCAGCGAGTTTTTTCTATTATATCTAAAATTACCCCGTTTCCTGATGGAAAGGCGATTTCGTTGTTTTGATAGAAATAGTAGCACGGCTCGGCCACTTTTTCACCATATAAGAGTTCGGAAATGAAAAATTCCAAGGTTCTACCCCCTCAACAACCACGGTGTACCCTTGCATTTAGCATTCAACTCCCTAAATTCACCCCATCTCACATTAAAATAATGAAAACAAAGGTAATTTTCTCAAACTTATAATAATAATTTTCGTACATCTCATTCATTCCTACAGCCTGATGACCTGCACTAAAATACATGATATATCACGGTCTTCGGTAAAATACATCCCCGATTCCTTATCCTACCACGGCCTCCAGTCCGATAACCAGTCCATATAATTAATCGGCCATTTGTTTTGGATTCGTGCACTCGGATGTGGAAGAAGCCGTGACCGACTATCGGCTACGGCCCAGGGGCCGGCAAATTTTATGTCGCTCGCGGGACAAAATTTAGGTTTGCTAGTCTTTTGCGGGTCATATATATAATTTTTGAAAGTTAAAAACGGAACAGCGCGCGAAAACTGCGACAATTCGTGAACTCAACTCAGTCGTCTTATTAAAAAATTATTACAATGACATTAAATGTGACATCGCCTTTTTGCTGCATCACGCTTGAAAGCTTTACGACGCTAAGATTGGAACATTTTCTAATCGGGCATCACTAATACTAGTTCTTTGCTTGTTCTCTGTAATGTCCATTTTCGAAAATTATTGTTCGCAAGATGAAAAAATAAACGCCCAGACACATTTCTCACTCAGACAGATTTTCAGGCGTGGTTACATTACCTCATTTTTGCGTTTTTGAATTATATTCGTTAGTTTTTAGTTGTTTTTCGGAAATTTAAATGTAAGTCAATGATCACAATGATCTTCCTAGGAGTTTTAGTTAAATTAGTGTAGAAATAGCTGTGGTAGACTAGGCTAAAATTCTTTACCGGTATTTTTGAAATGGTATGAATTAGAATATTAGTTTAAAACAAATACCTCATTTTACAGGCCACAACTCGCGAAACCGCTCTTAAAATAAGCACCGAAAATTTTAAAATAGTAAAGTATAGGAAGAATTTTCCGGGGTCAAAGGTCGGGGAAAGCTCCATTCAGTGAAGCGTTCTGGCCGGATTATTTTACTCAGGCCGTATTTTGCCGACCACTTGGATACGCAATCATTTCGCGTGTGATAATCGCCCACGTAATTCAAACCTACGAAAGCACGCAGAATACAGAAATCAAGTGCACGATGCGCCGAACAAAAATAGGTTTCTCGAAATCGCCCCCTTCGACTTTTTCGCCCCCCCCCCTCTGTATCGTCTTCGCCCACCGGGGGGGGGGTGGGGGGCGGGCGATGTCGCCCACTTTGGGAATCACTGGACTAGGACACAACAGAACTCAAATATATATATGGTATTGGATATAAAATAATGAACACAGGGATTTGTTGAGTGCCTGGTATGTTTTTATTGATCGATGGTGGGAGCCAAATATATATGCATAATTCTAAAGGGATATCAAAATATTCATTCAATCCAATTCCTTTGCATTTCATTTCCATGACAAGGGGAAAGATGCCGATCAATAAGACATACGTGATTTCAATTAATAATTTTGAACAATAAATAAAAATAGATTAACAAAACACAAACTCCTTTTTTCCGTGTTTTTTATGCTGTGTTCCTACAGCCGCTTTGAAAAACTCATGCAATGGACTAAGAAATAGCAGCAAAATAGCCCAGTGTTCACTGCATGAAAAAAGGCTCGCAAAAAAGAAACACCTGCAAATTATAAAGTATACTGAATGGTTTCCATTCCCAAATACACAAAAAAAACGTTTGAAATGCACGTGTACACTTTGCTATATATTTAAATATCATTCTGACATCAAATTGAAATATTGACAAGCTATAGTCATTATTGCAAAGAATTATATTGCGATCAATGGAGCTCATTCTGTTTTTGCATTCTTACATCTGTTGTGTAGAATTACCATTCCATGTCGCCTCATCATCGTCTTCTCGTGTAACATCACTTAATCTGGTCATGTTGCCTTGTCGTTTTGGTTCCATTGATTCTTGTTGGCCTACTGTTCTTCGCCTTAAACCTCCGTCATCACTAAAATTCATTAGGATTTATACCAATGTCCAAATATATTGTAATATTTAAACAAAAATATCCATAATGAATTGGATTTTCATATTTGTTTCCTGCGAAAGGAAAGCTTATAAGATGATAGCCTAACTACAGAATAGAACCCAAGCCTAATTACCAGACTAGGTCAGTATGGGAATAGTATAAGTTCATTTCGACTCCATAATCAATATTAACAATGGATATAATAATGAAACAAATAAAGACTGATTACAGAGTCAGAAGCAAACAGAACTTTAGGATTCAAAAGTCACACATAATTCAAATAAAGGGTGTTGCCAAAATAAGTGGTACATGTTGACTCGCCCAAAGAATGTATTATCAAATCATAAAATTCCGGCCTGTGTGTCTGCTTTTTGCATTGTAATTTTACGTACCATGACAGAGTTCAAAAACTATTTATTACTTAGTAAAAAAAGACAAACAAAGTTTTTGCCACACAATATTAGTAGTTTTGTAAGGATTGCCAACTCGGATACTGAAATTAATAATTGAGAAAAAATTCATTAAAATTAATCAAGTTAACCAACAAGTCTATAAAATCTTGAGTGCAGAAAAAGGGTGCAAACAATGGTCAAAAAAATTGAAAAATATAGGAATAAATTTCCGTATTCTGCTCATATTTCTGGACTGGAAAAGAATAGAATCTTGTAAATTTTGTGAATGAATAATGAATAATGATAGGGGTTGAAACTATGACAGTTATAAAATATGAATCAAACTACAAACCTCCATCTGCTATGACTGGTTGATGCATCACCCTGACTAGAAGTTACAGGTTGTTGTTGTTCTGTTCTTGTACCGCCAGAAATAAATGACCAAAGAAACATCAGAATTTTTGATGGAATTAATAATACAAACATTATCATCGATAGTATGGAGGACGTCACAGAATTGTCAGAAGAAGACTGAAAAAGAGTGAAGATCTTATGAATCGTGAATGATGTTGTGGTTGTGGATGCAATATAGCATCAGCAGGGCCCATAGTCACCGTTTTCGTTTGACAAATTCATGTCTTGGATACAACAGCAAAAGGCGTTTTTGAAGTAAAATCTACACTATAGGTTGTGCATACAATAAGCTTTCATAATAATGGGAAGTAATCTTACATAATTTATATGAGTTGATTTATAGGTGTCTGCTATTTGAAACCAAGAAGTAAATGAAGGCTAAGGGTATCTCGTTAAAACTTCATGTTCGGTATTCATAACATCTTTCAATCACGACAAAACCAAAAATCCAGCAACCTAAGCTCCAAATGCAATATATGTTGCCGGAGCTGGTATTATTGTTAAATAACATTAATTCAAATACTTACAATTCCCCTTCTATTTTGCCGTGGCAGTACAGCAAGAGACGCACTCGGAGACAACCCCAGCTCAGCAAAGGTTTGATTTTGCTCAGATACCAAAAAAACTTTTTTTGGAAAAGCTGTCGCAAGATCAAATGAATTAATGGTTGGAAATAGTGGATGATTCAAGCTGACGACAAAAGAGAATGCAGAAAGTAAAACATCCATAGAATCAAACTGTTGAACTGTTGTAGATCCATCTGGCATTCGAAACTAGAATAAATCAGAGTTTAACATAGTATCAATCAGAATTCTACTGATAAATTTAAAAATAATCAACATTTTTTTGAATAATAACAACAGTGATATTATGATATTAGTAAGGCTAAAGGCAACTTGTCCGTATCAGTGAAAAAGTCAATCAATTACGATAGAACATGGTTATCAGTCTTTAACTTAAACGTGTATTGGGGGGAGGGAGAGGGTAACTGAACGATTGAGCTCACATGCTAATAAAAACTAACATATTTTAGTTTTAGCTATACAATAAGTTTACAAATATCAACATTCAAATTGGCTTCAGAGCTTCACTTAATCAAAATTTATAATTAAAATGAAACACATTTATAAAAACTTGTGCTATCGATTGGGTTTCTACAAGACCCACTATTTTTCCCTTTTTATATGCTTTTGCGTCGGTGGATCCGTATACATATAATGCAAGGATGCTATAGCAAGAGTGAAGATAACTATCCTGAGTAATTCAATAAATAGTCTTGCTGCACATTAACACAAATTATTTCTGTAACGTTTCGTCTGACCAAGGTCAAACTTCCTCAGACATACATATTTCAGAAAAATTTGTATACAGTATTTGTGTTAGTGTGCAGCAAGACTATTTATTGAAATATTTATAAAAGATTAAATATTTCACACCTTTAGGCAAGGCTATGTACAACACAAAAGGCTATGCTGTCAATATTAAAGTAAGTATGACTTAAATATTTGAATGAGTTTTCGTTATTATGTACATATTCTGGATATTTGACTACTCTAAAATTTATCATCATAAAGATATTTCGAATGATCACAGTGAATGGTTGGGTTGCAGAAAATTACGAAAAATGTGACCTTAATTCTGTAAAATTTGAGCAAAGTACATTATTCTGTGCTACAGCAGTATTTTGCTTATCATATTTATAAGTTTTAGAAAAAATTATTCCATAAAACTACCTGTAACCTTGCTTTTGAATCTCGTTCCTTCCTCTCTTCTTTCAGTTTTTCTTCATTTACCTTTTCCGCCTCAGCTTTTTTATTGATATTGGTTTGTTCTCGCTCAAGTTTTTCTTGTTGAAACCTTGCAGCCCTATCCAATCTATCCTGTTCTATTTGACGTTTTACTCTCTCTTTTGCAGCTCTAAAAACAATTGCAAAGATATCAGAGATAAAGTATGAGAAAACTGAGATATAGTTTTGCATACCAATCTCAACTGGAAAAATATGATATTAAAATTTTAAGACAGAAGCACAAAACTGGTAAACAGTCACAAATTTAAACATGATAAGCAAATTTTTTCTGTGACGTAACCTCTTGTAGATACAATATTTGCCAAATACCCAGACAAAACACAAAATTTTACATATCATCGGAAGAATCCAAATAATTTCAAATGCCATTTCAATTAAAATTATCACAAATTGCCATGTACATAATGAACATACTTTTCCTCCTGTTTATCTCTTCTCCTCTCTTCCATATCTTGTTTCATTTTAGCCTCTTGTTGAGCTTCCTTCATTTTCAGCAAATTTTTTCCTAGTTCTCGCCGTTCTACTTCTTTCACCTTTAAATCCTTGTAATACAAAAAGACACCTTTACATTTTAGTGATACAACAAGACAATCAGAAAAACTATACGGTGCAGAATGTGGGATTTATTATTTAAATTTTGGACTCAATGAGAGTGTTGTAATGTTGTGGAATCTGGACAATGTGGAGCTGTAAATACATTTCTGATTGACCAAGATAGAATAAATATTCATATTCAAAGATAGCATGATTTTAAAATTTCCCATCAATAGGTATATGATCGGATTCTCAATTATCGTGGAGAAAAATGAAGTCCATGAGATTGCATAATCCCATGAAAAGTATAATAGTTAACCAGTTAAATATTATATATGGTATGTATAAATTTGGTTGTGAAAGACGCTGTAATTGACCAGCGGATAAGTGAGCCACCCTGCAGCAGCGAAGAGCCCAACAATCTTTCACTTATAATAAACCCCTGCTAGAGTCAACAACAATAATAAAACTGATTTGTTCTGAACTTCTGATACTAAATATTAAATGATAACATATATGATTTCTTACTTCTTGTTTTTTGATTTGGTCTTTTTCTCGTTTTTCTATAATTTTCTGTTGAAGCCGTTTAGTTTCCGCATCCATTTCTTCAGCACTCTTTTGTGGCAAAACCCTGATAAAAACAAAGACATAGAATGATAGATACTGACAGAAAAATATGTTTATTGAAAAAGGAGTCAAGCTAAGACTAAAATTGTAAAATTCTTACTATTCCTGGAATAATTGTTTTCAAAATTTTGAAATAACTCTTTGATTACAGCAACCAACTGTGTTCGAAAAATGGCTAATGAGTATTGAATATATCAAAATAGATTAATGGAATATATTATAGAAAATTACATTGAATCTTGTTGGCAAAATTGGCAACAGACAAATAAAACCCATCTAGACCGAATTGTGGATGAAAAAATTTTAAAGGCTCTCTCGATATTAATGACTGTGTATATAGGACCATGGGTTATCTAATTTATCTCTTCTGTTCCCCAAATTTAAACTTAACAATTTTGTTTAAAATAATTATGATGTCACTAATCATTATGCATTTCAATAAAAAAAATGAATCAATCTATATTCTACTTATTTTTATCACTGTTAAAAACTTACTTTGGTATATTTTCGTCGCTCGCTGCCCCTGATGTCTGACCTGGAAAAACACAAAGATTAACATTGATCATCCAATGCAAAATTGCTAGGCATATATGACCTTTATGTAATATGTATTCTACAACATAAATTTTCAGCTGCACTATCAAATGTATACAGAATATTCAAACAAAATTGCATTGAATCATTCTCGCAACACTAGTATATAAATTACAATGTTACCGCTATTAGCTTCCTCTTGAACCTCTGATGAGCTTTTTGCTGCATTTGACTCAAACTAAAAGAATTAATGTAAGATAGTAAATATCTCAATCTCATATTGGCTTATTCAGTTATAAAAATAAACTGAGAAATCAAATACAACAAAAAATGCAACATAATTAATATATTATTTTGAATTATTCCAATCAACGTTAATATTATTCACAATATTACCAATTTAACAAAGGAAATCACATTGAGTGTACTATCACTAAATTTGTTAAATAGGCTATGAGAAAAGATTAACATTATTGCCTTATGTATCTGATAATCTGAGCTTAAATCAATATAAAATATAAAAGCATAATACTTGAAAATTGTTTTATTTCATACCTTGGTAATATTCCGAAGGTTCTGTACAAAATCATCAAGTGAAGACTGCGCATAAATCACTTCTAATACTTTACCACTATTATCAATAAAATGTGCACTTGGTACTTTTAATACCGGATCTTTCAGTATTTAAATTAAAATACAGTTCAGGAATTAGTAATAAGTGAACAATAGCATAATGTGATTGATATAAAAATTGTATTTGATTTGTCATTCGCAAATATACCAGATGAATTTTATACCGAAAAAATGAAAATGTTCAACATTAGCATAAAGGTTGGCATGGGATTATGCTCCAATCATGAGCAATACATTTTGATCCATATTTCAATGCAGCATTTTCATGGACAACAATTATTTAGTTTGAATTGAATTGATTGTATATATATTTAAATTAAAGACTAAAGGAATTTTTTACAGAACAATAATAATTCAGTTGAACCCATATTACAAAATCTGGCAATCTGGGCAGTTAACAGTCGAAATTTAACAGTTGATCATCTAATTTCAGTCAGTCATATCAATCGTATATATAGTATCATTGAATTGTATTACTTGCTTATTAAAAGGATACAAATTGCCGAAAACTGTTTGCAGCCCTCACTAAAGAAAAAAAATAAAGTTGTTTATGAATTCGAAAATTCAATCTATTCACAAAGTCAGTAGACTATAGAACACTGCGAACTACTGAATGGGTTAGATCATGATGGTATGTTTATTATAAACAGTTTTTATATTAGTATGTTATTATGCTAACAAAATAAATTTTGTATTTTACTTCTTCAAACAGGCCACTGTCATGTGTGATATTCGTTCAATATAATGCAATGCAAACATCCTGGGTCTCGTGTAGTTTCGAACCTAAGTACTTCTAGTGGGCGTAGCATACCAATTTCACATGTCAATCCTATCCCCCGCCTAACTACGTCATTCAATAATTAAATCACAGAGGTTGCCAAAGTATACCTACGATCGCCCGAAATAGGATCTGCGCCGACAACAAAAAACTCACTAACTGCAGCAAACCTTTTCATATCAGGATAGTTGCGATGAGAAAACGAGAGAAATAACTTGCTTGATTTTGGGTGATCGTCTGCGCGTCTTGGATGACAGTTCGTAATTTTGAAAGGCTATATTACGTCACTGTGAAGTCATTTTTGGACGACACAGTCAGGTGGGGGTTAGGATTACCATATGCAGAAATACTTCAGGTTCGAAACTACACTAGACCCAATATCCTAAATATTAAGAACTGTATTAAAACTAACATGAAATTAAATGTAGTATGTGCTTGTTTCAAATATATATTGAATAAATGAAAGCATTCGTTACCTCTCTGCACTCAATTTAAGAGTAACACACATTGATTTGCAAATATTTTCGACACTTTCATTATTCCACATTTCATCCATTCTACTAGATTCTTCATCATCACCTTGAAGTTATAAATATACACATTTTACAAATACATTAAAAATAATTTTTTCGAGTTTCTCATGTAGAATCGTTTCGAAACGAGTTGGGCTGTGCACATATATTATTATGAAAATCTTGATAGATATTTGAAACACTGCTTGCTAGAGTCAAATACTAGCAGACTAGACTTCCCAACTTGCCTAATGCTAAACAAGTTCATGGACAGATGGACGCCATTTCGTGCCATATTTGGAAAACGCGAAACAATGTAGTTTTATGGGGAATATATGTAAATCCTATCCCGGTATCCTATCAGTATATTGATCAAGTTGTAATTTGCCAGGTCTGCAGGTTGTGACAGAATATTGAAATGAGGCAGCACACACAGACACACTACTGCAGATTATTGTAAAATTGATTACAGAACTAACCAGTAATGTATACAACAAACAGCTTTGAGCTTTTCCTTGATTCTGCAATGGCTTCAGGTATACTTCCAGAGTACCAAACCATGGTGATTTTTTGCTGTTATGATACCGTAGTATGCTAGTTTATGAACAATGAAATTATAATAATGAGATTCGTAGGTTAGGTTTGGTCAACGAACGGCAACCAACTCGCCTAATGCTAAACAAGTTCATGGACAGATGGACGCCATCTCGTGCCATATTTGGGAAACGCGAAACAATGGAGTTTTATGGGAAATATTGGTCGTGTTGCTGACTTGCTGTAACGAATTGAATAAGTCAGTTGTTATAAGGGCTAGATTGTGGCTTATCGAGCTAAGCGTTAGGAATACGCTCGCCACCACATCTCTGATTATTCTGCGTGGGTTCGCAGGTTCGAATCTCATGCGAGTATAGTTTTGTGCGAGAGGATTGCTGGACTCCTCCACGCGGTTGGGTGGTTCACGTAACCGCCGTTCGGTTACGGCTTCCTCCACCATCAAGTCCATGCTTCTGGAAACAAATAACTAGGAGGATAGGATTTACATATTTATCCCAGGGGAGAGAAAAGCCGATAAGACGGCTTAATCATATGGCAAACCACGGCCTCTCGTCTGGTTACCAATCCAGGTCGGGTATGGGATTAGTTAGCCAGTTATTTGTTTTCGGAAGCATGGACTTGATGGTGGAGGAAGCCGTACGGTAACAGACCAGCGGTTACGTCAGTACGTGAACCACCCTGCGGCGGCGAGGAGTCCAGCAATCCTCCGCACATGATCATCCCCGCATGGGATTCAAACCCACGAAGGGTAATCAGAGATGCGATGGCGAGCGTATTCCTAACACTTAGCACGATGCGCCACATCGCCGAGCTAAGTATAAATATAGGTATATTTAGATTTTCCCCGCAAAAAAATCATACACAAACAATGAACACACAAAAGATTGGGAAAACCTTTTTAAAGGTTTAATACATGTACATGCGCCAGTTTACCCACTGACCCACATTCAACACACAAAGATATATCTGTATATTCAAAATAATAACTAACTAATCCCATACCCGACATGGAATGGTAACCGGACGAGAGGCCGTGATTCGTCATATGGTTAAGCCGTCTTATCGGCTTTCCTCTCCCACGGGATAAAAATGTAAATCCTATCCTATCCTAGATTGGAGCGGACGGGCGGGTTCTGAACTTTAAGCAATTTGGCCACAAACACAACGTAGAACCAAGTTTGGTCATTTTCAAAATCTTTTTTTAATGGAATAATATAATAAAATATAATTAAAAGTATATAATCACTTGAGCAATCATAAGATAAATAATCCAATATTCATTTTTCACATGTCCATTCCATCAGTGTTTGAGGACGAGGTGTTGAACGCATCGGCATACAATTCATCAATTTTTAGTATATTGAGTTATATTATGTACAATAAAAATAAAAAATTAAATATAGACATGTTCATTTTTATACATACTAAATTTATACATACTTGATTTATGGTTCAAATACGATTCCTTAGTATTTCAAATTCTCTGACAAAATTACGGTAGGGGGTTTTTCTATTTTTTTCAATGTTGAGTCTGTAAGTGATTGCAGTTTTTATTTGTTTGATACCTAGGTGCTGATTAGGGGGACTACCGTCGAATATACCAGAATTTCTTTGTATCCATATTTTATATCTAGTGATTGAAATTAAATAAACAATAATATCTAAATCTCGCATGTAATGTTGGAATGTAACAAATACAGAAATACCTCAAATCCAATAAAACACAAGTTTCATAATTTTTCAAAAGTCTGGCATTATTTAATTTCCTAACAGTATTTTCAATAAAATCAAAAACATAATCAAAATATTCATAAATTCATCGAAACTCATAAATAGCCTAGATGGCTAACAAATTCTGGTTCTTTCCCACATACTGACATAACACACACATATCATTTCCTGCAATATTTCTTATTCCAGATTTTGTTTTTACTGTTAAAATATCCCACATTAACTTGAAATTAAAGGTTTTCATATAGTTTGCCAGAATATCATTATGAATATTCTCACATGCAATATTTAAATTACAATTGTGTAGAAAAATTAATCTATCCCCAGTCATAGAAATAACAATTTTTTTATAAATAGTTTTATGCTTACCGGTACCCTCTTTTATATCTTTATATATTTCAAAATCTTTCTGCCTAAAATATTGATGAAAAAATAATAGGTAAGTAACCGGTATGTTTCAGTAAATAGCCTACTGTCATGTCAGCCAAATATCAAACTTATATTCCCGAATTTCATATTGCGGTGTTTTCTGGTCAAACAAAATGTGGGTTCGAAAATCTGCAATTATGCAAAAATTTAATGTTTTCACAAAAAATCGAATTATTTCGAATCTTTCCGGTATCGGGGGCAAAGATTTGGATATACCATTTGATAGAAGACTAACATAGAAACATACTCCAATAAAAAAAATATTGTGACATTCGACGAGTTTTCGACTCTTTGGGGTTCGAAAATGATTGACTATGAAAAAATTAAATTATTTCACGAAAAATCGAATTATTTCAAATCTTTCCATTCTCGGCGGCAAAGATTTGTATATACCATTGGATAGAAGACTAATATGGGAATATATTCCAACAAAAATATTATAGTGATATCCGACGAGTTTTCAAACTTTTTTGGGTTGTGTATATGCTCATTGATATATACTACTACTAGATGTCCAACTCCGCTCGCCGTATAATAAACAAACAAAGGCGATGTTGCACTTCCAAGTGGCGGGCGTCACGATCAGTTAGGTTCTGACAAGGTGCTTAACGACGACGACGCTCCTGTATCACAGCTCGCAAACTCGCCCTGTTCATTGATGACTGATCGAAATATTTGCTGAAGGACATGGAGATTTTGATAAAAATGAACAAATAATTGTGAAAATGAAGACACAGTCTGTCCTGCAAATGACCAGGATGATGTGATAACTTCTTTGTCGAAAGAGAGCAAGGCATCAAAAATGCGATGCATTGCAAAAATGTCAGTCAGATGTAGGCCTACTGGTGGTGACAAAAATGAATAGTTTGCACTTTATGTAAAAAAAAACGCTTAGTAGCAAAGCCTTTTGGTCTCACTCCATCTCAAGTATTGTGGGTTTTACAGAAGTTTTTTCTCCACTTGACCTATAATCAGGACTGCCATAACGTCCTTATTTTTAGAATTTGTCCTTATTTTTTTAAAGGTCTTTGTTTTAGGAAATATTTTTGTCCATATTTCTAAGAAACATCTTTATTTTGACGTGTGTCCTTATTTTTAACCTTATGAATGAATATACCGGTAAATTAAAATTTGAATTTAGTTTGGATCTGGAACTTCGTGAGAGATAAAATGAGTAAACGTAAAAACATTTGCCGTGATGATTATGAGAAAGAATTCAACGGCGTCAAACGAAACGAAGGGCCAGTGATTTGCGCACTACAGCTTTTGTGAATGTGACAATAATCTGGAATCCATAGGTAAAGCAGCAATTTCCTTTCACATTGCAACCCAGAAACACAAGGCTCTGCTTAAGAAATTAATCAAATCAATCTATAAATAACTTTTTTAAGAGTCAATGATTATACAAGGGCTACCTCAATACATGCAAGCGGCTGGAATTTATTTCCATCATCACATCATTGAACATCCGACACTTGATATAAAAGAAAAATATTTTCAAATCATTCATGAGCAAATACCTATTAAACAATGTAACTGAATGTCAAGATGTAAGAACACTACTTGAAAAAGTATATTTACAAAAATTAGAGCAAATGAATACGCAGAGTACTGTAGCCAAAATAATAACAACAAGATGAACAATAGGACTCGTGGAATACGAAAACAATTGAAGAAACAAATCAGCTAAAACAAAGATTAAGATAAATATATGTGATTACAGTAAAGTTTTCGTACTCCTGAAGTATGTGTACCAAAAAATGAAGACACCGGAACGTAGTATGTGTACCACGTTAGGGTTAGGCCATAATTCTTATTCCAACTTTTCTTTATTTTAGTTCTATTACGAGTTCAGGGACTAACCAAGTGAGTTTCGTAGTATTTGTACCTAAAAGTATGGCCTAACCTGGTACACATACAATGTTCCGTTGTCCGTCATCTTGGTACACGTATTTCTGGAGTACCCAAGTTTTTTTCTCAATAATCCATAGAAATAAAAATTATTATTTTAATTACTAATGTGATTAAACTCTGGATATCGAGTTATGTTAATAGTGCTATTGATGTTTTTTAAGGCTTTGGGAGTGGTTCTTAGCTGGGATAAAAGGGCAATTTAGATTCTATTACGTGGACATTGCTACATATTTATTTCTTTTTCCTTGCTACTTTTCAATCAACTGGAGCACCGATGGATTCTCAGCCCCGCGACCTGCAAAATATGCATTTTTTAAACTGAAAATCTTTTGGCGATTCATTCAATATTTAGGGTGAGGGCCTACGGGCATAGCTGAAGATTTTGAAGGGGGAGGGAGGGTCTGAAATTTTTAATTTACAAGTTAGACCAAAACACTAGCAGGTCTGATCGGAAGCCGGCAAATGTTAGTTTATAATAGTCCCGATGGTCGAACTCTAAAAATTGTTTCAAGCCACGAAAAATTTATATGTATGATATAGTAAAACAATAGAGAAGACTTATATTTTACACTTAAAGAGGGGTCTGACAAATGTTTGGTGTAATATGGTATATCACATGTTGGAAGTACCAGTAGTTGGAGCGCTTCGTACGCTGGAGAAGCAATGAAATGTTGTTGTTTTTTAAATATGAGTACAAAATGTGTTGCATGTAGCTGTATAGCATTTATTTTGTTAAAAATCCTTGAGCTAATCACCTGTTGTAGACTTCCAGTGTGTAAAATAATTTATGAAATTTTGGCTGATTCACTGCAGTCTTTTGTTTCCAGATGTTTCAGAGGGAGTAGATTTCCGTTTTTAAGGGATGCCACGTCAGTAGTGCCGCTGCATATGCCAAGAAAGGTATTCTGCAGTTTGCAATACTTGGCAGTTGCTTCAAATTCAGACATTTCCAAAATCTCAGCAACAGATGCAGGAAGAACCTAGAAAGAAAAATTTC